AACAGCTGATCAGCTGTTTATCGGCTAAGCGCGCTAGTCTGGATGCTCCCGCGCCGACCTGAAAGCCCTTTATCGACCTCCCCGTTATGCCTTGTAGGATGACGTTTACCGAGGAGGTCGATAAAGGGCTTTTATGTTGGCAGGGGAGCTTCCAGACTAGTGCGCTGAGCCGATAAACAGCTGATCAGCTGTTTGTCGGCTCAGCGCAGCAGCCATTTAAATTTAAATGAAGCCGCAATTATTTAAATCGCAGCTTCATTTCCCTTTGCCGAACAAACAAATCTACATGGCTCCGTCGACGGAGCCATGTAGTTTAGACGTACCCTTGGTGTTGAAAGACTTAGCCTTGATTTATGAAGATACAGCTGTTTCAGTCATCTTCTTTTCAAATAAATGGGCGTTCTGTCTGTGGTACTTTGCTGGCTCCTATTAGTATGGCACGGGAGCAGTACACAATCTGTCATTGGTTTCCTTGATGACCCCAGGTGAGGTATCTCCAGACTGTTCTCCCCATTTTACAGATGGAGAACTGAGGTCCTGAGACACCAAGGCCTATGTTTGTTCTAGACCCTACTGCAAAGCACAGAACTCCTCCCAAACGCTTTGGGTGCCTAAACCTACTTGGCGCCTACTTTTTTGCACTAAAATTCCTTTGCCGCCTTTGTTTCTGCCTGTGGGCTGGTGTGTGCTGCCTTGCTCGAGAAGTCCCGATGCCTGGCTCTTGCTTATGCTCCAGAGCAGTTCCCAAGCCAGGCATTCAGCCACCTAGGTCACGGGCGGGGCACAGAGGAGGCCTATTGGCCTCAGGCGCGGGGATGGGGCAGCCCTCGTAGCATTTCACCCAGTGACTGGTTTACTTAGTTCACTCCTCTGGGCAGTGGCAGGAAACGGCGGGAGAAGGGTTTTGACTAAGGATTTGCTGCCCTCGGGTAGGTGCCCTAAGCGCTGGCGTATGGGACCCCGCTCAGGTCGCTGCTTTAGCAGTTCTCATGCTGGGGATCAATAGTCATTGGAGTTGGGGGGACTGGATCCTGGGTCCCCACAAGTGCTCTAACCACTAGGCTGAAGGGTCATTTTCATGCTTGTGTGTGCTCTTATCCCCCTCCCTCCTCCCACGCCTGCAGTGACGGTGGGAGAGTAGCATGGGACCGGCCCTGTAGTCAGGCAGTAACCGCGCTTCCCCAGGAGCCAGTCTCCCCGCCCCAGAGACAGATCACCAGGCTTTTGGGAAGCGCAGTCACAGGTGCCTGTCTAGCCCAGTCGGTGTGTAGGAGCCCGGCTTTGTGAATTGCATCGGAAAGGTGGATCTAGGACCGTGGTTCCCAGCCTTTGTAATACCAGGGCTGGCAAACCCATTCACAAACTTCTGGTGGGTCAGTGACATTTTATTTGATATTTGCATATTCATTATGCAAATGATGAATATGCAGATGAAACATTACCGGTCCACCAAATGACCAGCCTCCAGAACCCCCAGTGCCAGCCCCAACCCCTCCATCACACCCCAGCGTCAGCCACTGACCCTGACCTCCCTTCTGCACTCAACCTCCATCCCAGACCCCACACCTCCTCCATTAATATCATGGAAGAGTATAGCCCTTGACCACTTACCAAATTCTTGGAGCAGCCCCCCATTAAAAATTATTGCCCACACCCGGTCTAGTATCTTATAACATGCATAAGACTTTTATCATTACTATGAAAGGATATAAAATCTTAGCACTTGTTCATTGGTGTTTTTAACTGAGAATTTAACTTCAGAGGGCCAGGAGCTCTTTACATGTATATTATACTAACAAAGCAGCTGGGAGATTGATCTCCTTTTTTAAAAAAGAAAGTTTGTCATAAAAATGAAGCATTCTATTTTTAACCCCTTCTGATTTAATACAGAAACAATCCTTTGCAAAAAAAAATGGAAACATGATTCTGGGATGCATTAAAAGGAGTGTTGTGAGCAAGACACGAGAAGTAATTCTTCCTCTCTACCCTGCATTTATTAGGCCTCAGTTAGAGTATTGTATCCAGTTCTGGGCACCACATTTCAAGAAAGATGTGGAAAAGTTGAAGAAGGTCCCAAGAAGAGCAACAAAATTATTAAAGTTCTAGAAAACATGACTTATGAAGGAAGACTAAAAGAACTGGGCTTGTTTAGTTTAGAAAACAGAAGACCGAGAGGGGACATGATAGTGGTTTTCAAGTATCTAAAAGGGTGTCACAAGGAAGAGGGAGAAAAATTGTTCTTCTTGGCCTCTGATGATAGGACAAGAAGCAGTAGGCTTAAATTGCATCAAGGGAGGCTTAGGTTGGACATTAGGGAAAAACTCCAGTGCATCCAGGCCTAAGGGGCCCAGCTCTCCCAAGTCCTAGGCCGCTGCCTGAACCACTGGCTCACTCTTCAGTCTGAGCACTGGAGATGTAGTCAGCCGCTGTGACTTACAGTCTTTGGCGTGCAAATTGGCCCAAGCCAGGACAGGATCACACACTGTACGTCTGGATTCCCGCTGGTGGTTTGGCAGGGACCAGCCTGACAGACAGCCTGTGCTTTGGAGCATCCCGCCACAAGGGGGACCCTCTGTACAGCTAAAGTTGTAACCTCGCTTCCACTTCCACCGAAACTTGTGCTTTGATACAGAATCTGTAGGTGCCCCCCCACCGCGGTTCCTCCTTCTCGGCTGCAAACCGCAGAGTCTCCGCTCTCTTTCTAAACGTGCCTGTGGAGACGGGTTGTCCAGAAGTGAAATTGACTGCGTTCTCCCTGCCCTCCAAAATGAGCTCTCTTCTCTGCCCTCTTGGAATCCTAGCGCACTAGGACTGGAAGGGACCTCGAGAGGCCATCGGGTCCAGTCCCCTGCCCTCACGGCAGGACCAAGCACCATCTAAATCAACCTGCTCCTAAATATCTCCAGAGATGGAGATTCCACAACCGCCCTGGGCAACTTATTCCAATGTTTCACCACCCTGACAGGCAGGAAGTTTTTCCTAATGTCCAACCTAAACCTCCCTTGCTGCAGTTTAAGCCCATCACTTCTTGTCCTGTCCTCAGAGGCCAAGGAGAACAGTTTTTCTCCCTCCTCCTTAAACAATCCCAGTTCTTTCAGTGAAACCGCTCTCTTATCCCCTCTGTCTTCCCTTTTCCAGACTAAACAATCCCAGTTCTTTCAGTTTGGAGTGAAATGAAATTGTCCCTACCAAATGAAGTAACTTGGCCTGCAAATACCCTTACTCTGTCCTAGATCTTACTCCATTAACGAGCTAAGTTAACCGGGTCCCTTGGCATTCACAGCATGTGGACGACTTGCAGATATTTTAGGTCCCAGGGACCTGGCTGATTTAGACAAAGGAGATTGTGGGGTTTTGAAGAAAAAAGGACAATTCAGTAATAGTATCTGTCTGTTCCAGGTGTAAGCTGAAGCTGCCCCAGAAGACTATGTCCCTGTGGTCTTGGGTGAATCGGCCGCAGGAACTGAGCAAATTCAAGAATCCGCTCTTTGAGGCCAACAGCCTCGTCATCTGGCCATCTGTCGCACCCCAGAGCCTGCAGCTTTGGGAAGGTAAATCGGGCTTCCTTTGAGTGGTGCATTTTTGGGGAAATGGAAATTGTCCTACTTCTCCATTCAACCTGCTCTGATTCCATGCCTATGGCTTGACATCTCAGGGCATGGTTCCGCTCCCATTGAAATCCATTACAAGCGCTACTCCCGCAGCCCAGAGGTATGGTGTCACCTCGTACCACTGTTCGGCACTGCAGGCCTTATGTAAGCTCTTATCAAGGGCAGCCCACTGAGCCTTTTGGGACAATTAGTGAAACGAATTTGTTCCTTCCTTACTTATTTCTAAGGCGGCTGCTCCATCTCCTTTTCCCTTATGCTCCCCGTGCATTCCCGGGGCTTGAGTCATGAGTTAGCCCTCTGTCTGCACAAACCCCTCCATGCATGTATCTTACGAGCGAATCTCTGGTCCCATCCAAGATTTACTCTGGCGCTAAACTAGAGCCATGGAATAGGTCCAAATGGAAGACTGAAGATTGATCGGTCAGTTCAGGTCCCATGAAAAGCCAAGGACTTTAATGTCTCGAACCACTGACTTTTTAAAAGAAAGAACTAGTGAAGCCATTGTGGTGGTCTGTATTTCCAAGCATTGTTTAGGAAAGTCCTTAATGTCACACTGCATTTTTCAAGCAGGGTGTGCCTCTTCACTAAGGAGCTGTTGCCTCCTGGGAACACTAACCCACTCTTACTTTCCCCCTCTCTTTGGGGCTTTAGGTGTCTTTCTCCGTTGGAGTAGGTCCTCCAAGTTTCTGGATGAAGCCTACGAAGAAATGAACAACATCATCGAATACAACAAGGAACTTCAGGCAAAAGTCAATGCGCTGAGGAGGCAGTTGGCAGAACTGGAAACAGATGACGGAATGCAGGAGAGCTCCTGAGATCCTGCAGGGCTCTGGGTACCAGGTTTTTCCTCTCAACTCACCGTTACACTAAAGACTTTGCAGAGAATGTGCATGTGTTGCAGAACCCTCTGGTGCAATTGATCCTCCGCCCTTCACTGCTAAAACCTTCACGTTACACTAGCTCCATCCCTTCTGTTTGGGGGGGTCTCTGGTTTTGTTGTTTACAGGGGATGTGCACAATTCAGCATAGTGTTCTCTCTTGACAGTTGCTGCCTTGAATAAATTGTGTAGTCTCCGCATATGCTTTGTCTCTTACCTGTGTCAGACGTGGTGGAGATGACCAGGGTGGGTCAGGAGATAGATGCTTCAGGCTTAAGCTTGGGATCTTTCTTGACCGCTCGCCGTTTATGTGTCAAAGAATTCAATGTGTTGTTGAGGGGTTGGTGAAGGCATCTTTTGTGGAAGGTACCGTTTGAAACTAGCTAAGGCAGCTGTATGCTTAGTGATGCTTGTTTTGGCTTTGGTTTTGATGTTGCGTTTCATACATTCAGCGTCTCTTTTATCCAGAAGAGGGATGAACTGCCTACAATTTCCGATGATATGAGACCTGTACACTTGAACTGGCTTTGGCTAGTCTGGGCTACTTGAATACAGAAGTCTGTATGCAGCGGAGCAAGGACTGCTCTGGGAGGCTTTTTGCCTTCACTCTCAGTTGCATTATCTCTGGGTATCTCATGGACAAGTAGCTCTGAAGGGACAGCAAACTCTGACCTGCTCAGTTTCCCGACGGGATAGAAAAAGAGCTAGCAGACAGCACCCCGTGTTGGGGATTGAGTTGGTAGCCAGAGCACTGCCTTTGGGAATTCTGACCGCACTGGCCTTTTGGAAAGGGTTGCGCTGACTCCTTGTGGTGCTAAGGTGCAAAATTTCCTCCTGGGTCCTTCGGAAACCACCCGCATGGCTCAAGCTGTGGTGTTGTCGTGTGTGCGTCTTCTAGGCCTTCTATCTGCTTTGGCAAAAGGCGGACGGTGAGCCAGCCACGCCTTAGAAATGAATCGATTAAAACGAATAGCTGCTAAAACTTGCTGGACACGGCCAGTTCTCCGGGTAAAAAGGGTGGATTTCCGTGGCTAGTTTGTGCTTTCGTCAACACTTTTTTCACTTTGTCCCCCTTTTGAAAAGATACTCCAGGCCGAGCTTTGACCCTTGACTTACCTAGAAAGCTCTGCTTAGTTCCATGTGGCTGTGGAACGATTCGTCCCCCCAAGGGATGTGGAGGGCTGATCTTCAGCCGACAGGGATCCTTTTTCTCTCTCGCTCACTAGCTCAGTGCTCTAGAACGGAGTGATCAGGCGGGGAGGAGCCTAATAACCTGGGGTGTGGGCCCGGCTGGCTGAACATGCTCGTATGGCATGTTGGCGATTAGTCCTTCCCAAGAGACTTCTTTGTTGATGGCGATGGGATAGGATGATGCTCGGATCCAGCCCCTGGCTAAGAGGCAGCTGCAGGCAGCTTTATCCGCCCCCGTAGCCTTTATTGCAGGAAGTCCTGTGCATTGCTCGCTGCGGAGCCCAGGAGCGTCTGTGCGTTGGCCGTGAGCAGGCCTGCTGACCACGGGGGGAGGGTAAAGGGGGCATTTGCCATGGGGCCCAGTGATTCAAGGGGGCCTGAGTCTCCTGGCTGCTTCTGCTGCTACTGTGGCACCCAGAGCTCCAGGCCCTTTAAATCCCAGCAAGGCAACTGTGGGAGGTGAGGGGTGGGCGCAGTGTTGCGGGGGCTGGCTGCCTGAGCTCCATCCCATCCATCCGAGGCTTTGCCCCTTCCGGGAGCGTGGAGCAACCTCCCCCCCACACCTTGCCCAGCGGCCGTGGAGGCTGTCGGCTCCCCGGCCACAAGGGAGGCTGTTTTCAGTCAGATCAGCCATGGAGATGGCAGTGTTTGCGTACAGCGCGACTTGACATAATCGGGCTTTTGGGTGGCTTCTGTTAACTGAGTGCTGGAGCAAGAATAGTTGAACCATGTCCTGCTTTTGTGCTGCTTTCATCCCCTAAGATCCCTGGCTGGACTGTGGAAAGCAGGAGCCATCAAATGGGGCAGCTAGGCCCGTCAGGCTAGGAACACTGAGTGGATAGCAACCAATCGCGTTCGTCTCCGCTGGACTTCAAGTCTCTGAAGGGAACGTACCACTTCCCAACGCCTCCCGTTTTGTGACTTTACGTCGCAATTACCCCGTCATGGGGAGGCGCAGTTGGAAAAATCTTCCCAGTCAGGTATAATCTGTTCCCTTTGGAGCTGGTGGCTGTTTGGGAAAAGGCGCCAAGTCCATTAAGAGTCATTGCAAGACATAAACCAAACACAACCACTGGCCAAGGCAAAGGTGTAAGGCGGGGTGGGGAGCCCAAGGCTCAGGGGCCAGACCTGGGCTCCAGATTACCTGGAGGTTCAAGGCTCCCCTTCAGTATGGGGGAGCCTGTTCCTGTGCTCTATCCCCTCTCCCCCCGCCATTCTCCATGGAGCTGGAGCACACAACATCTACTAGCCTGTCCCCCCCCAACTCCCCCGCCGGCTCTTGTGTGTGAGGGGAATGTGGGGAGTGTCTTTCTCCCCCACAGTTGGGGGCCCTGTCGCTGAGGGGTTTGCTTTTTTCTTTTGCTTCTCACGTGTGAGCTGCCCCCGACTGATTTTTCTGTGGGTCAGCAGTCCCTGATCCCCGCCCCTGGTGTAGGAGATGTGACAATGGGGCTGGAGGTTTAAGTGTCTCTCACTGACCTAATTTTGTTCCCAGAGGCAGAATTAGGCCAATGTGGCACATTCTAGGTTTCCCACTTTGGAAACATGATTTTAGAGTATTTTTATTCTTAAAGTGAATGGACTCATTAAAAACATCACTTGCCTAACAGGCACATTTGAATTCGGGATGTTCAGTATCGGTTAATTGAATCGTCCATTAACCTCGTGGATTCTTATCAGTTACTCGACTATTCTATAGTCCCAGGGGGTGGGGCCGGCAGCCAGCGCACCACTCCCGAGGAGTCCCCTGCTCGGGGTGCCAGGCAGGAGCTGATCCACAAAGGGAGCCAGTTTAAAAAACAGTTCCCCTTGCAGACTAGGGGCCTGTCACCCCACACTGCTGCCTCTGATAAAGAGGCAGTAGCGCGGGGTGGTAGCAGCCTCTGTCTGGTGGGTCGGGTCTGAGCTCCCGGACTGGGTGCAAGCTGGGACTGAGCCGGGCTGCCTGCAGTGGGGGTAGGTCTCACAGTGGGGGTAGGTCTCAGACCTGGCACGAGCGAGGACTGAGCCAGGCTGCTGGCCAGCCTGCTAAGTTTCCTGGTGGCAGGGGGCGGGGGAAATGCATGTAGTCTATAGCATTAACCAATAAGCTTTTGCTCTTATTGGTTAATCAGTTACCAGAAATCGACTACACTATTACATCACTAATTTGAATGGTGAAGTCTTAACTACTTTGAGTGTAAGCTGCAGAAATTCCTGACTTCTAAATATTTAAAATCCTTGATTAAGAATGTGTTTTCTATATTACCTGATGGCAAGTGACCTCTAAACATCACTGTACTGCCTTTTTATTATAAAAATGCTTTTTCTAAAATATTCTGCCCTCGGCTGATCTAAATTTAGCCCCAGAATGGTCTTGTTTTATTGCAAACACTAGCTTGGCTGCTTTGAATCTCCTAGGGTAACAAAAGATCAAAATACATACGGTCTGTTTAATGGTGCTTGTTTCATTACAGTGATTTTTCTGGGGATGGATGTTCAGATTCTAACGTTAAGCAGTTCTGAATTGTTTTTGACGGGGTGGCGTGGGAGGGCACTCTGGATCTTAAAACTTCAGTTATATGCAGAGGCAAGATTTTTCCAATAGTGACTGGTGATCGCAGGTAACTATTTGGTGACATGTCGAAGGGTTTCAGGAATTCGGAGTGCAGCTGTCAAAGTCAAGACCCTTTCACGTGTATCCGAGAGAGACACTCCCTCCCACCCCCTCATCAGTAGCTACTCTTTAAAATCTTGACCATGTTCTGTGTACCTGCCTTCTCATGCTACTTCTAGCAAGTATTTCAGACTTTTGGTACTGTGGTTACACAAGTCTGACTTGTAATTACCATCCCTTTTGGGATGGCACAGCGGAGATTATTCGGCTCCATAGTAGACCATCCGTAAAACACATCCCTAAAGGTTCTGTAACTTCCGAATGTAGCAGTGATCTCTACAGTAGCAGCAAAGCCACTTTTGGGCTTACATGTCTGGCTGTTCAGTCTAAACAGCACGCAGCCGAAGAGAGGGGGTAACCAGCTGTGACCGCTAACAAAAGGCCAAGAAATGTCACAAGAGGCTGGTGTTTCATCCTGACTTTGTGCTACTGGACTTCATCCTCTGCCCCATGCCACAAGAGTTTCCCTCGTTTTAGCTTCCGTTTGGATCGTTCATAACGCCGGTGGCTTCTGTTATTCCTGTTGGTTCGGCCTTTTTATGTCCGTCTTTGTTCACAGCAGGAAAAAAGAATGAAAGGAGGCAGATGATTATTTTTTCCCCAATAAACACCTTCCTCGTTCCCTTTAAATGGAGGAGTTGGAGGGAGAGTCAATCCTGCAAGGCGCTGAGCATGCTGGATTAGGGCCCAGAGTTCTCCATACCTCACAGGATCAGCCCCCGACAGCACACATCTTCTTTGGCAGGATGGCCTATGCTGAGCCCAGGTACATATACCTGCTTTTCCCCAGGGGAGAGGTGAAGTGCTCTTTGGAGCAGATCGTCACTTGCCTTCGGGTTGGACCTGACCTGTGAGCATCGTGTGGTAATAACCCAGTTTGGTTTTTCAGCCAGGCAGTGCCTTGTGCTGTTGCCAAGACACCTGATTCTATTTTCTTTTGTACAGACCTATCTGTATAGCGAGAGAGTTATAAATGTAATTAACAACCTGGACTTAGAACTCCTAAACCTCCAGGAAACGTAGAAACTCCATGTGGCCCTTCACCACTAGAATGAATTTGCACCGCGCGGTGATCACAAAGGGAATAGGTACCTCCAACAGACGGATATTCTGATTGTATCATTTGAATGTGGCAATCTATTCAAGTGCACTGCTGTCCATGTTGCGTACAATATAATTTGCACTGTATAGCAGATCAGCAGCTGTAATGTATGCTTGTTCTAGCCTTGCAAAGTGCTATCATGTACAGGTTCCTGTACAGTGGAAAATGTCTATATATTAGAAAGTCTACCTTTTTGTAACTGTGTGATATTGACTAGCCCTGTTTGTAACGTACTCTCCATGATGTATCCG